ATTCAGTCAATTTGTAGAAGTTAATGAGTGAGTCTTCTACAATCCGACTGAACTTCCTTGTTGAAGATATGTACATATCAACCATTTGATTTCTCAAATCCAGCTCAACTTGACCAAGTGCCTTTTGCTGAGTTATTAAATTATTCCATATCAAATCTGAACAGCATCAAAAACTAATTTGGTCAAAGAATGATGACGAGTATAATAAAATTTAATAAGAAACTAGTGTTTGGCATGTGGACTTGTATTGACACTACAGTATAGTTTTCTATGCGCGACCGGTTGTTGTCTCTTTGAAACCTACGTGGGGAGAGTCGCAAAGAACAGTCCACCTGGGATACTTGTATTGGTACATTGTGGGAAGATGGTTTTCCCGGACCCGGAGGTGCGCTTTTCCTCATGTTCAAACGTGACCAATACATGTAATTTGATCCAATCGAGGATTCAAGTGAGAGTTGAAGGCGTGCTTGCGAACAGTACAAAGCGCTGATTTTCAAGTTTTCAAATTGCCAAGTTGTTATTTGTTAGACTTACAATTTGAGACTTGAGAATGGGACAAAGTCTGATGTGACACATGGAATCAAAAGGATCCGGTGAAAGTGAGAAAACACAAAGTCGAATATGTAGTAAACCTTTGGGCTCATGTTTCAATAATTGAGGGAACACAAAGAGTGTCAGATACAATCTTGAAAACGATGACTGTGTGTATGTATGTGTAGTGGGAGTCGGACAAATAAAACATCTAATGAAACTGCTATGAAAGTTCATGCAGTATGTATTGCTATGGAGTGAGAGTAAAGGAGTGGAAACTCGACTAAGATATTGTCCAGGCGAGCGAGAGGTGCAATACGAGCACAGGACGGTAGAGTGGCGAAGTTTGCTCCTCATCCAATGTGTGAGGTAGTCTGGTTTGTGCGGACACTGGTTGGTAATGCTTGGGAGGTTGGTTCTCCAGACCGTTTTGAAGTGGTGAGGCAAGGTAATCGGAACACTCAGTAGCAATTTGACCAGACTGGTCTGTGATTATGGACTGATCATCTGGATCGCCGTCAGACCTGTCTGTGAGGCCTCGGCTTTTTTGATATTTCTTAAGACTGGTCTGGGTTTGACTGGTCGGGATTGGATGAGTAAGACTGGTCTGGGTTTGACTGAGTAAGACCGGTTTGAGGGAGTACAGACCGGTCTGAGGGAGTACAGACCGGTCTGGCATGGTGCCTCAGACCGGTCTGCAAGGACTTCTCCGGTCTATGAATTTCAGCGAGCATATCGGTCTGGAAATGACTTAGAATCCCCGCAAAAAACCGGTCTGGGCGAGCTGACCAATCTGATAACGATCTTGCGGTTAGATACCGTATGCATTTTCGTCTTTTTGTTCGGTGTTTCACCGAGGGATCTGTATGCCACAGGTGTGAACTGACGCTTGGGTCGGGGAACTTATGAGCTATGTGGACCCAGCGGCTCTGGGCCATCACCTTGCTTGACATGGGTAAGATGTGCAGTTCGTGTGGCCACTCTGTAAGTGGATTCTCACTCTCGTGGCACCGCCGTGCTTCTCGCGAAAAACTGATGGTACAAACTTTACCGTGTGAGAGCCGCAAAAGGTCTCGTGGAGGGGCCGGGCCGGGTCAGGAGGCGTACCACGTCCCGCGTGTATTCCCTCAAAAAGCCTTTGGTGGTGTACCTCTAAAATATGGGTGAAGAGATTTTTGCACTCAACCATTTACACTCATTATTGAGTGTAAATTTTGTTGAGTGCAAAAATTAACATTAGGGGTGGTAATGTTGAATTTTACACTCAATCTCGCCCGAATTTACAAGTGCAAAAAAAGATGTGTAAAATATGCAGTGTAAAATTACAAGGTGATGACCTCAACTTACACTTTTACACGCCATTTCTTACACAGAACATTGAGTGCAAGTAAAGTTCTGTGCAAAATTTAAAAAACGGGGGCCAATATCCACTTTTGCACCCATATGATTTACACTCATGATTCAGTGTGTTTCGTGAGGGTGCAAAACCCTAAAATGTCCCCCCATATATACAATTTTGCACCCTACCTCTTGAGTGCAAACAGATCTGGACTTAGCAAAAAAAACTTAACTCAGGCAGACACAAATTAGTTGAAGCTCCTCACCTCAGACTTTTCACCTCAGGAACTTTGAGTCAAACTTATGTCACGTCACACTGGCACCAGAGTTCCACCACTTAATTGGCCAATATGTATTTCAATGAGGCCGCCATAACAATTTAAAAACAACTTGAGAAAAAAGAGAAAGAATGACTCCCGCGCTTACCTTCGCGATCATAGCCAAGAACGTGTATATATATATATATGTATAAAGTACAATCAATCAAGAAACAATAAAACATGAATCAACCATTTAAAAAAACAATCAAAAGTATCTATTTCTTCTTCTTCCCCTTGGCCTTAGGCTTTTGTTCAGCCTGCTGAGCCTCGAGGCCCTTGGTTAAAGGTCCAATGGGTTTGTTAACCCGCGCTTTGGCACGCTTCTTGCCCTTTGTCACTTTCTTGACCGAGGAAGGGGAAGCAGACGGGGACTTGGCCGGGCTACCTTCTGGCGCGGTCCGCTTGTTACGCAGGCGGAGGATCAGTCGCTCCGAAGTTGGGTTAGCTTCATTGGGAAGAGTATCTTCCCCACCATCGCACTCTGCGCCGAAAGAAATAACCGGAGGTGACGGTTCGATAGGTTGAGCTGTGGTTCGATGGTCCACATCCACCTGGGCTGTATCTGGCTGGAGAGCACCTGAGATAGAGTGCATACGTCAATAGGAGGTAGGCAAAGCATGGACCATGCTGTCACTCACAATCATCCTTTTGAACTTGACCAAAAGCCCGCCTGGCTTTATCGCTTTGGGAGGAGCCCCGCGAAATGACGTCTTGCACCTTCTCGGCCTCGTCTTGGATCGCAGGTTTGGAATCGACAGCGAGGACCTCTTGCTGGCTGCTGACTACGAGGCCAATTCAATTAAAGGGTCAATTTGGGCAGGCATGGCAATACCACACCAAAGGACTCACCCGCGGATGCAAACGCTTGCTTCGCCATGTTTGCCGAACCTTGCACAGGAGGAACAGATGGAACAGATGGAGTGGCCAGTTTGTCAATCTGTTCGTCGAGACCTTCCAAGTCGTCAGGTCGAACAAATGGTACGTCGCCAAGGGGGTCCGGATTCTTGAGGGTTATTTTGGCAATTCCACGCTCGATGAGCTTCTGTTCGTCAATGTTGGGCTTGCACGAGTAAATGACCCAGCTGGTGTAAGGTTGGTCACCAGCAATCAAGGACAAGTCTCGGCCAAGCAGCTGGGCACGGCCGTCATCCTTGCGGTCATCAAAGAACCACACCCCACGCACCCCATCTACGTGTCTTACCAACTTGCACCAGTAATGGCTGAACGCCCAGAAACCACAAGACACGATTTCGTAGTCGACGTTGTCCAGCCTTATAGTTTCTGGCCAGTTCATATAGCCCATGAAAGAGGCACGATCCTCATTGCCAAGGCCTCCAACACCACCAAGGAGGAAGTAGACGTTGATTGGCCGTTTCGAAAAGTCCAACCGGCACCGCTCATACAATCGAGGAACTCCACCGGAGGGATCCACCTGAAGGTGAGTGACTTCGTTCTCACTCACCGCGTCCTCGTCGGGCTGGGTAGCCGTAGGTTGCCGGGAAAGACCTTGGGCATGGGCTTTCAGACAAGTGGTACAGCATCTCGGAATGACTGAAAATAGGCCATTGCTTTGCCAGGCAGAGAGGAGCTCGGTCACATCTGAGTATCTGATGTTGGCCTCGTGGAAGAGATCCGTCGTCAAGAGGACCTTGGATTTGACCACGGTTTCCGTTTCTTGATGGGCGCCATTGGCGCTGCATTGATAATTGCGAAGGAGGTCGTACGCAAAATGTTGACCGGCTGAGGTGGGATGTTTCTTGTTCATTAGGAGATAATCCATAAAGAGATCTGCTGAGCAGAATGCGTCCGTGACAAAAGAGTCCGGCGACAACTGTTGGATGGCCGTTTGGAGAGACTTGAGACCGCGAGATAAAACGGATTTGATGTGCGAGGCGCGATGCATCTCGGATGACACCCGGGACGAGTAATGGCGGATGAGTTTCGAGGTGATGTCTTTGCTCTTATCGGTGCCTTGGATCCACAAAGGCGAGAACGTGGGGAACAGAGCTTCCAGAGTGGCTGTTTCCCAGCAGCGATTCTGCTTACCAGGTTTGTTGCTTGCTGAGTAAGCTTGATACGAAGAGTGTGGATCTCGGTTGACATTCGCCGATCCAGCCGGGCGTCCCAGTTTCTTCAAAGGGAGAAGCGCCTCAGTCGTATCCGGCGGCCGACCATCGTTAACGTCCGGGCGCCGTCTGGTGCGTTCTTTGGACCAACCTAATGTTTCAACTACCGAGTCCCAGTTGGAACCATACTTCACTGGGATTCCACGGCGAAGCTGATCATAGTCGCGGTTGAGGGACTTCACAAACAGGAGAAGCTGAATGAACCCTTGCATGATGGTGTATTGGCCAGACCTACGACGAATTCAACATGGATTAGTACTTATATCCACACTTACGAAGGGAGCAAAGTTACTTTTGCAAAGGAAACCACTCACGATAAAATGTAGTATTGACGATGCATTGATTCTTGCCCATTAGTGGTATCAGGCACGTCAGCCTCAGGTTCATCAGGAAGCGGAGGATCGTCCAAAGGTAGGCGAACACGGGCAGTGAAGAGCATTGAGTGAATGTCGGCGGTATTCCACCAGTCTAGCCACGCCTTTGCTTTAGGGAATAGGCGAAAGATATGATCGAATTTGTCGCCTAAGCTTTTACCGCCAGGTTGAACTGGTTCTAACAGATCGTAAGCCAAGTGTTCGAAATTGCCCTGTATGGAAAGGTCACTGGTCAGTCACAGAACGACCCATGCGCAAAGATAGGGCATATGGAAAGATATGGCGAAGGCCACTCACCACCTGGCTCGCATCGACAATGTTCCAATTTTTCTTGACACGGGTGATTGACTGCCTGTAATGCTCGTGACAACCCTTAAGCTTATCCAAAGCTTTCGCCGGATCCCTTTCGTTGAAAACGTCCATGTACGCCGCAATGAAACCTTTCTTCTGAGCCGCCGAGAAATCGACCACTTGCTGAGACAAGAGGTCCCGCTCGTGGAAAGACAGTTCAGCATCATATATTTGTTTGAGCAACGTGGTAAAATGGGCTCGATAATGATTGACGTCAAGCCCCCACATCCAAGTCAGCTGGATGGGGATCCAACGGTGCATGACTTCGCTGTACATAGACGTGGTAAGGAGATAACCGTTTTTGAAAAATCGGTATGTGACGTCTGACAAAAGGCCACCCGAGTAGATCTTGCCGAATTGATCCCTTCGAACCAACTGCTCCGCCATCCATTCCGTCTGAAAGGTGATGTGGACGGCGTCGCCTAGAAGAGAAGTCGAAATCAATTGGAGACCGTTTCTGTTGGTTTTCGAAAGGAATTAGTATTGATCTTCCAAAAGCAGAAATTCACAAAGTCATTACCTTCCCCAATGCATGAGATCAATGATCAGGCGATCTCCTCCTCCCTTGCTTTCTTTCTTGGGCATGAGGCCCTTCGCGACGAGGACCTTCCGACGTAAGTAGCCTAGCCGCCCGCCGTTCGAAAACGCCGGGTGGATGTTGATGACGGGAGAAGTCACTGTTTGGCCTGTGCCGGCCTGCCCAACCTGAAAGACACCATCAGGTTTGTTAGTGCGTTGCGTGAGTGGAACAGTACACAAGATAGATCACCCACCTTGAGGACCAAAGGCCCGGCCTTTGGATTCTTCACAAGCTCTTTGGTTAACTCCATCATAGCCATTGGGTCGGCCTTCTTCGAAGCTGGCCAAGGGTGTTTGTGGACACCGGAGTGGCAAAGGACTGCCCAACCGGAATCTTTCTCAATATCAACTCGGCAAGACGTGTCATTGCAATCGGTCCAAAAGTGATTGCCGTTGCATTTGACAGCTGGACAAACTGGGTGCCTACACGTGCGAAGAAAGTCACGAACAAGTTCTTCAGTTGTTGTACATGCAAGTAGGAGGAGGTCAAAGTAAAAGCACTTACTCAGCAATGAATTCGGCTGCTTTGCCTTCAGCTGTAGGTGGCGGCCCGGCGTAATTGCAAAAGTCGTCATCGCACTGTAATACACCAAGACACTTGTACCATATCGTTTTCCAAGGACCCGTTTTCGAACCGTGAGATTTTTGAGTATGAGAGAAAGCCACATGCCCAAAGTTGATAACTGGGGCGATGGGATCTTGAACAAAGATAGTCTCGCCGTTGGGATATATCGGATAGCCTTGAGGATCGATAGTGCAACCGTGATCGATGAAGGTCTGAAGTTCCCCCGTTGCTGGAACCGGGATCTTGAACTTCTTGCCTTTCTTTTTGGGCAATCGTCTTTTGAGTTTCAACACTGGAGAAGGCGTTTCGGGTACATGAGAGAGGCCTGGCGAAATCGGGACCTGGTTTGGGCTGGTGTGATCAAATGTAGCCATAGGTTGAGGCGCAGCGGGGCCTTCCAAAGAGCGGTCAGAATCAGTGTCAGACATGATGAGATAGCTGAATGAGGGTTTGGCGGGATCGAGGTCAAACGAGGTACGTTTTTGATGAAAGAGATATGACTGGTAGAGAAAATGTAACAGATGAAATCGATGGAGGCAGTGAATGTGATAGAATTGATGGATTTGGGAGATACGATGACTATGGTAAAGCTGCTGGTATATCCAAAATGTAACGTATAAGTCTTGAGGTTGAGATGGTGAGAGGATAGGAAGAGACAAAGGGAAACTTGAAGGCATCCGTTGGGGTGATCCATTGGGGGTCCCAAGGAACGAACGCAGGGATGGAAGGGCCATCTTCCTTGGCTAGTTCAAACCGAAAGTCAATCGAGATGGCGGTCTGAGAAGGAGGTACGGTAAGCTAAGGTCCAGATCACATCAAGGATGACGGTGAGGGAATGGGATGTCGAGATTGGTTCGTCCTTTTTGTGGGCATTGAGGGTGGTGTGGTCGTTGTTCGTCAAGGTGTACGCCGGCGGAATTGAGGATGGTAAGGTTAGGGCAGCGTTGAGGTAAGGCCGGTTGGATGCAAGTGGTAAAGTCCAATCAAAGAGCATAATGCTTCTTTGAAGGATATCAATTGTGAGGTGTTGATGTGGTGATGACGGTATCTGCCGGATTTGTCAAACTTACCCCACTGCCGGTCGGTTATGTCGGTGACCCGGCCTATTGCCGCCAATCGAAAAGACTGGGTTCAGCTGGGATATGTGTAAAATTCTATTTGGGGGTCGGTCCTTTGAAAAAATACACTGCGTGTATTTACGTCCAACTTTGAGTGTAAGACCGGCCGGACGTAAATTTGCAAATCTGGGGCCCTTAGAGCATCCACAGCCGTGCCGTAAATCTGTGACGTACATATATTTGAGGTAGTTTCATGCACAGCCGTCTACCTCAAACACTTACTTTGCTTCACCTCGTGAACCTTAAAGACTCGGAGCTGTACCGAGGAAAACGAGTACCGCATCTTCGGAGCGGCTCCGTAGAATCGCAGCAGATGTGTTCCAGATGCCTCAGATGCCTCTGAGGTCACCTTGGACACATCACAAGTCCCTTCATTTCCGTATAACTGCCATATAAATATCTCATGAGAGCTTCCCAGGTTGTCTTAGATGTTTTGTGACACATATACATACAAAAACACACAATAACAAAAGTACCAGCCTCCACGCAGCTGGCTCACGCAGTCACACAGTCATCACACTCAGGCCACACATACTTGTCACACATGTAACTCATCAGTTGCGCCAGTCCATACACTCATGACACCACAGGCATCTATTAGGTTGAATCATATGTGAAGCTTAAGGTGGTGACAGAGTTCACAATAAGTTTCAAACTTGGATTGAAACCTATTAAAATACAAGGTCCCCCCCTTGCCTTTAATAGGTTCCAATTGAAAAATTGAGACTTATTGCGGACTCAGACACCACAACTTTGCTCAATCAGGTCTCAAACATAACTAGCAAATCAGCGGCGGGCGCCGCGGCTAGAGATTGTCATTTGCAGGAAGGCACAATGACTGAACATTGGCCTGCGGCAGCAAATTAAAAACACCTGATTTAACCTGTGTATCACTTCTCTGCAAAATACGTTGGATGTTCAACAATTTACCCTCCGGTGGAGATCTCATTTATACAATGGTTTCCTTCAAAGAAGTGCAATATCTGTCCTAAATTTTCCAAGACTGGAGTGTGATACATGCCAGCTAGTGATTCCATGACCAAACTGTTCAGATGGTTAAATGTTGCATTTAAATCAGTGATTAAGCAGCAAGAAGTGTATAAATTAGTGGGTGCACTCCAATCTTGTGAATTGACGAGATGTTGAGCCACATTTCACTCCGCCTCTACCAATGTAGGGTTGGATTGTGCAGGTGGCCTTAGCCTTGATACATTCCAATACAATCAAAGAGTTTCAGCTGCATTATATTTGTGTAAAGATCACAATTCAAGATCAAGCAGCCACCTTGCATATTTGACATTTATTGGGTTTTGGATAGCATTGAGCTTGTCAAGTCATATGCTGATTGTTGAACAAAGCTTATGAATTATGTCCCATTCATACAACACTTTTGAATTAGCATGTGCTTCATCCAATAGGATCCTTCTCCTGAATATAGGTAGAGTATTGAGAAATACCTTGAAAGAATCAAATGTTGAATTAGTGTTGTTATGCCCAATAGCAGGAGAACATTCAGCAGAGTTGCATCAAATTTTAATTAACCAAAAATAACACCAAATTTACTACAGAATGTGGGTTCACCCAAGTCAAGTAACGAAGAGTACGGTTGACACATTCAATTTGGTGCTGGTGATGCATTGCTACCTTTTTCCAAACAATAAATTTAACTGTTTGTAGCACATGCTCAAGACCCAAAATATGCGGACAGACTAAATCATCAAAAATGGGAATACATATTTTGAAGGCACTTCCATGTAAAAGAAGTAACAACATAATTCCTAGGATGTGGATGAGGAAAACAAATTTGAATACTATGAAGTGGGATAACATCATGTTAAAAGCTGCAAGCAAAGAGTAGGAAGTGAAAACCCAGAGAATAGTTCTCCTAAAACAGTTTCTGTGCTGTTTACCACAATGGACACACAATCATGTAGAACAGCAACACTGAAAGGTGCATCATGTATTTCCACTTTTTGAACTTCAACTTTAGCCAGAACTGATTCCAGTCAGTTAAAACTGGAAATGCAGTGTATGCAAAAACTGCAAAGTCAATCCTACATTTCATTGGACTTCAGGGTGGATCAATCTGACTTGTAATCTTGATGAGTATAATGATGTGAATGTTGAGATTAGATTTGTATTCCATGAATCAGGAAGTTTCAAGCAATCTGAATGAAAAGTTGTGTCATAAAGCAAAATCACAATAAAATAGAAGATCAATCCCAAGAGATGATTACGATTAAGGGACAACTAACTGGCATCACTCAATCCAATGAGCAGAATTCTTCACCTCTTTCTGTCAGTTCAATAGGGGCCCTGATATTATGAAGTTAACTATGTTGAAACTGATTATGTTGAGCAGTTCAAGTGAGAGGAAACAAATTGGTTCAACTTCATAAAGTTTGTCAGAACCAGTCCCCCACTCCTCATATAGCTATGAGTTATGTTATATAGCTATGAGTTATGTTCATTGTTACAAGACTTTACCTGACAGTTATAAATCTCCAGGTTCTTGAAGCAACTCCCCTTGAGGTGATTCTCTTAGAATCCTTTGCCCAGAACATCTCTTACATGTTGTCAGAGAATGTTCATTTGTGGTAGCAGCGGAGCCCAGCCGTCCCTGGTTGGTTCCGCACAACCAATTGGTTTCTCAGAACCAAGGGAGACGATTCTGGCTGGGCTCTCACCATTGGGTTGGCAGGCGGGTCATTTTGATGGGAAAAAAGCATTTCTTGGAGTGATCTACTCCGCTTCTTACCTTCTCTCCCTTTATCTATTCTGGGCTAATTTCCTATAACTCTAGTGTTGGTATCAATTCCTTGGTGGGATGGCGGGTTTTTGAAATTGAAATGAATGTAATACTGGATGAGAATCCTTGTGGGATAATGACTTAGCCTGATTGACAGGTTCAGAGTGAAGATTTTTGAGGGGAAATTTTCCTATGAGCTGTACCTGGACTCTCGCGGTAGTAATTTGTGTACAGTCTCTCAAGGTTCACTCTTACCTTCTGGCTAAGTCCCCGTGGGCCTAGGAACCAAACGTGCATTATTGGTTCCAATAAATAAAATGAATCATGGATCCTGAGAATGATGATACATATTGGAAAATGAATGTCATGAATGATAAAAATCATGTCATTGATTTGGCTGAGATGAATACTCAACTTCAGAATGTGTGACTACCTTGAAAAGGTGAAAGTATGAAAGAGTGATAACATACTATAATGATAGGAATATGACATAATCAATTCTAATATTATGATTTGTGTGAAGCAAGAGAGTGACTAACAGACATACAACTAACAACAATCAATTGGATTCAATGGACATATGGCACAGACTCAAAGTGAATTCAAAATTCAAGAGTGAGATGATTTGATGTTGAAGTTGAACAGATAAGAAATCAGGACTTGAATAATATATAGGTTGATTACAAGCTTAATTGGATTGACTCAAATCAGGTTCCATATTGATAGTTTCTGAAAAGGCATGACCATCACCGTGTCCGGGTAGCGTTTGCTCGTTGACGAGCGCGCACAACTTCCGTTTCTGCCTCGAAGGGAGTCGGTGTGCGCTTTTTGACGAGCAAAAGATCATATTCAAGTAATGAAATTTTTTCAGCCATCAAGATATTGGCTTTGAATTGATATTTGAATGTTAATAAATCAAAGATGGTTTGCAACTTTTGATCATGTTCTGAATGTCTTTTAGATTGATTTATTCAAAATTGAGAAGGTGATAAGTTGTAAGGTTTGGGTTTGTTGACCACTGAGCATGAGAAGTTGAATTGGATTAATTAGGATTGTCTCAACATTTTTGGATCTGTTGGAAGAGATCAAAACCAAAGCACATTTTTACAGGGTGTGAGAAAATTACACCGACCAATTTACACAGAATGACTTGGTGTATAGTCTATTTGGTGTACAAATCATGATCAATGATGTTGAGCATGTTGCTTGAGATTGTATCAGATAAGAGCAAAACGGGGTAATTTTGATTCTTAAAAAAAAGGATACTCTTTTAGATACCAACTTGAATTGAAGTCGCATACATACTGGATCCCAATTCATTTGGTAAGCACTGCAGTCAATTGGGATAATTGACAATGATTGGTGAGCAGTAGCTTGAGAAAGGATAGAACATATTTACACACTCTTTCTTTCACTTTCCAAGTTTCAATTTCTTGTTTGTGATATAACGACTCAAAGTACAATCACTGATTCATCTTGACAATTGATTGACTTTGGGACTGAACACTGCCAAGGCACTTGATGAGCTGAGATGAGCATTGCAAGCGGCCATACCAAAAGAGTTGTCAGAAAACAATTTCAAAGTCTTTGAATTAACATTTTGTGCTTCAAAAGAGCAATCAATAAATTGACCTCATTCACAATCAAGCGCTTGCCATCATCCTGGTGAAGCGTACAAGGAGCACCTCCATCCATATTGAGCGCGACAATTGATGTGACGGGATCCTTTTCAACATTGGCGCTGCCCTTCGGATCAAATGTGTAAGAAACTGCGTGCCATGCATTTGATCTTTCACCACTTCCAGATCGATTATAATGATGATTTTTACTTTTAAGATCTAAAACTTTTTTATTCAATTGATTGAATTCCAGACTAACTCGAATCAAAACCTCAACAAATGAACTCATTAAACCAAACAAACCAACAAAGTAGAAGTATGTCGAATCGATCTTAAAGAAGATTTAGTCATACTAACTAAATAAGTTTGTAATGAATTCATTAAATCAGTTTCATATGAGATCAAATTTTGATGTGATAGATTGATTAATTGATTAATGTTTTAAAGAAATCGATCAAGTTGTTTTCAAAGTTTTTTTCCGTGGTGGGTTTTAGTTTCAATGATTTATTGATTAATAAAACCTGAAGCTAATAAATATCTTGATTGAACGTGGTCTCTCTTAGACTATATTCTCGATAATGTAGTCCTTGTACTCTAAATCTGAAACCGTTCCGAACCCAAAGTCCTGCACGAAGTTGAGCTAGGATTGATGCCACCACATTTAAATAAATCAAAACATCAGTGAGGGGATCATGATTACGTAAGGGAAAAGGTAGAACAGCTTACCTCTCAGAACATCCTCAGATACGATCAGCGCACCCAAATCTACGCCATCATGATTAGGAGCTCAACCTCAGCAAAAAGGTCTGCAATGCCACGGATCGGAAGACCAGTAAGATTTTGAAATCGTTTCTATGAATATGTTTAAGAATTTCAGCCAAGAGCCAATTAATTGGATGATGAAACTAACCGGTCTGAATTAATCCTAAAATCGATAGATTATCGGATCTTCAGCCTGAGGATCGTTCTGTAAATGATAAGGATCACGATGATGAGAGTACTCAGTATCAATATCCATCGAGTCGTTTGAAGATGAGAAGGAGTTTTGAGACATCTCAAGGTAAGCGTTTTCTTCACGTCTACTCAATTCAATATAAATGTTATCAACTGAATTGGAAGGCGTCATGTCTTCGGGGCTTCTATCCAAAGTGATAAGAAGAAAATCAAGACCAATGGTAAAAATTTGTTCGATAAAATCTTTACATTCTTTTGGTAATGGATTGAGACAAGTTTTCTTCGATCATAGAACCTTGTTTAATTTATCTTCCTCCAGTTTCTTAAGTGCTTCTTCTTTTTCTTCCAATGTTAAATTTGAATTATGTTTGAAATTGATTTCAGTCTTCCAAGCTTCTGTATCACCGCAATCACAGCATCCACAACCAGCTGTGTGAATTGAGGGCACGTTCGGCAACAGATTCGACCATGGTTTTATTGACTACTGACCATGGTCAGTAGTCGATAAAACCATACATTAAAAAATGCGTTCGGTACCTTAAGAATCGGCCTAAAACCATGGTTTTATCGCCTACAAAACCACAAAAGAATGTGGTTTTTGCCTCTTTTTGAAACTCCACTTTTTTTACATTCTTTTGTGGTTTTGACGGTTTTGACCGTGGTTTTGACTCTTGACAGTGCATACAGAGTTGTGAACTTGGCGGTTTTTGGCCAAGTGAAGCATCTCAACACTCCTCTTTCTTCACCTTTTGACTCAAAACCATCGACTTCAATCCTCAAATTCACAACTTGATACGAGTCCACCTGATCAATGGCTGGCGCATCCGATGACGAAGGAGGAGGCACCCAAAAGGATCCGGTGATTCAATGGACTGACTCGCGATCGAAGTGGTTGTTAGAAGAAGTTATCAGGCAGATCGAGCTGGGTCGTGGAACCGACAGTGGTCTTCAAGCCAGTGGTTGGACTGATGTAGTTTCAAAATGGCGTGATAATTACAAAGTGGCGAACTCGAAGAAACAACTCAAGAATCAATTTCAAAAGGTAAGTCATATATACAAGTTTCCGTACTTTTCTCCACAAACTCATCTCATTCTTTTTTGTTCCTCTAGCTCAAGAAAGCCTATAACTCCTACTACACAATTGTTTTTAAATCAGGCGCTGGCTGGAACAATGAGACTCAACATGTTGATATGAGTCCGGACCAGTGGAAGACTTATATCGATGTAAGTTCCTTTTTTGCCCAAAATCGTCTATGTTATCTTCTCAACGTGCTTCACTTTTACAGGCACATTCAGATGTGAAACAATTTGAAAAACGAGCATTTCCGTTTCTCGAGCTCATGGGATCGTTCATGGGAAAAGAGCATCAAGGTCTTCCCAGCAACATAATCGGAACTGGTGCTCCGATTCCTTCTCCACCTTCAAACCAACACGAACCAGCTGACGACGAGGAGATGTCTGACCCAGAACAAGGTGGAGTTTCAGGTAAGTCAATTGTGTATTGAAAATCATCTCAACTTTTCTCATTATTTTTTTTCATTTGTTTGATATCTTTCTTTAGACTCTATGATACAGCCCAAT